AAAAGAATAGATTATAAGATTACAATGGTTCATACTTGTAATTCTAGGTATTCAGTTGGAGATTGGGAAGATTTTGGTTCAAGGCCATCCTGGATATAAAGAGTATAATAATTTGGCTAAAAACTAAGCAATTTAATTACATGGTTATAAATCTCAATTATTCTAAGCATAAAATTATTCATTTCTTTTGGGAGAATATACTTTATAATTCTTCCTTTTGATTTAGATCCTCCAGGTCCTATTGACAACACTAAAATTGCAATCACTAAATGTGGTAATGTGATGCTTAGACAAGGTAAGTTCGACTACTATTGATGCCTTTACTTGGTAGTGATTTCTCAGTGTTAGGAATAGGTAAGCCATGAAATTATTATTTTTTTTAACCTTGCTCAAGACTAATTCAAGTTTGGACTGGGATAGACATTGAAGAATAACTAGTATGTACTTTTTGTATCAGAAAGGTTTTTTTTTAAAATTTAGAGAATACTTTTATTAATTTCTTTAATCAAACCCACATAGGTAAGACTTTACATATTTACCCCTGAACAAATGGAAAGAAATTAAGTTTAGTATTAATAAATATTAATTATTAATTTTTAGACCAATATGGCTATTAATTTCTGTACAATGCTAACTCAACACGGTAAACTGGGATACTTTTTCCAAAGTTGACAGCACAACTAAAGTTTCTAAAAATTCAAATTATATATATGTATATATACATTTATATTTATATAAAAAGACCAACAATAGCACTATGTTATGCATCAATAGCAGCAACAGCTTTTCCAGGTTCTGCAGTCATCTGAACAAAAGTAGACATCTAGCCCATCCATTAATAAAAAAGATAAAAAAACAAAACCCCAGAAAAATGCGAAGTTCTGTTACTGTTGTGGTACCTGGCACCATTTTTTTTAAGTCAACTTCTCAATCATCATCTGGAAAGAAAACATTCTTGAGTTAATATCATTAAAAACAGCTCTGATAAAGTACAGTCACTACTACTTATCATAAAGGAGGTACAGGGTATTTATATTCACAGAGGGCTGATATAGTACTGTCCTACGCCTAAAATACTGGAGGATACAATTAAAAAGGCATTATTGAGATTTGATTCTACTTTTTCAGCAGAGGGCCAAAGGATGGTAAGATACAGCTCTGTAAAGAAATGCACTTTTCTTAGATAGGATTTCCTTTCATCAGTTCTAAGTACTCAGTCTCTTAGTGAACATCAGCTACAAACTGTTTGAAAATGGAGGTGCAAGCTGGACGCCAGTGGCTCAAGCCTGTAATCCTAGCTACTCAGGAGGCTGAGACTTGAGGATCATGGTTCGAGGATCATGGTTCAAAGCCAGCCCGTGTAAGGAAAGTCTGTGAGACTCTTATCTCCAATCAACCACTAGAAAACCGGAAGTGGCGCTGTGGCTCAAGTGGTAGAGGGCTTGCCTTGAGCCAAAGAGCTGGGGGATAATGCCCAAGCCCAGAGTTCAAGCCCCATGACTAACCCTCCCCTCCCCCCCCCCAAAAAAAAAGGAAGGTGCTGGAGCAGGAAGGGAAAAAGAAAACCCAAACAACAAAACAAAAACCATATCCCATAACCACTGGATTCATACAAAGATGACTGAATGAAGGCAAGCCAGACTCAACCTAACAATATTTTATATTAAGGCTCTAGTTAGGAATTAGGAAAAAGCATTTCTGATTTTCTATGTGTGTATCTGTGTGTGCTTTTTGCCTGTGCACTGCTCCTGAGGCTTGAACTCAGGTCCTGGGCACTGTTCCTGAGTTTTTTTCATTCAAGTTTTTTTCACTCAAGAATGCTATTTTGTCACTTTGAGGCACAGCTTCACTTCCAATTTTCTGCTAGGTAATTGGAGATAAGAGTTGCACGGACTTTCCTTTCTGGGCTGGCTTCAAACTATGATCCTCAGATGTTAGTCTCTTGAGTAACTAGGATTACAGGTGTGAGCCACTAGATGTCTGGACAAATTTCTAATTTTTAAGATAGACCATTGTATAGACCACAAAATTTGAAAAAGGAGTGGATTTAAGAATTGTGAGAAGGTTGAAGGGGGGACAGTGAAAAGATGCATTATATTCATATACTGCTTTGTTAAATGGTACCTTCACAACTACTTAAAGATAATAAATTAAGGGAAAAAAAGACTATGCAGTGCAGCTCATAGTGACTTAATAGTCTGAAGATTTATGTTTTAGACATTCTCTGATATGTGTGGGTGGGTTCATTAGGAAAGCTTATGCAATACAAAATACATAGTTTTATAAGCATTCTTTCTACCTATGCCCAATTTTAGGAGCAGATTCTGGTCAGATTTCTGAAGAAACATGGAATTTTCTGCAGTCTATATATGGTGGAGGGCCTGAAGTTATCCTACGACCTCCAGTTGTTCATGTTGATCCTGATATGTTACAAGCAGAAGAAAAAATTGAAGTAGAAACTCGATCTTTGTAATTTTGAGTAGCAGAGTTCCAATGAAAGATTATTTTCACTTTCTTTAACTTCTACACACTCAGAAACATTCCCTAAAGCATGTTTATTTTCTTGACTTTTCATCTTCTATCAGATTTATTCCTTCTTACTGGGCATTATGGGAGAATATGTTAAAATGTGTAATATACTATAGGTTGGTATATTTAATGCTAAATAACTTACCAGAAATTCAGTGTAATATTTTTGAAAGTGAAGGGACAGTTGTGATCAGTTGGTAAGTAGGTTATCTTTGATCTTTGTTTAAGATCCACATCCAAATATCCTTTGGAATGTTGTAAATACTTTTCCGTTAAAACCCTTTTTCATTTCCATAAGCCACTCTTAACAGATTAATCTTTTCAGTTCTCTAAAACCTTGTTTAGTTTTCGATACGGGTTTGCCTAATAGCCTATTTTAAAGTGAAAGTAGTCAGAAAGTTGTGAATTTCCTAAAGCTCAGGAAACATTAGTGTGTCACTTCTTTTGCACTACATAAACTAGCACATTAAAATTTACAAACTGTCTTTTTAATGTATCAAGAATGTATTTAGTTCTAGTGAAGTTTGTCAGCAGATATCAGTAACTTATTGCCGCTTATATTGTAAAATGTTAAACTTCAATTATTATAACTGAGTAGTATTCAATAATGTAATTTAAAAAAAACTGTAGAGTTAGCTTAAGGCCACTTGTATTTTGAGAGCATGAAGTGTCGAATGTGTCAATGAGATTGTTGAAAAAGCTGAAACCACTTGCAAAATGATTTTTAAATGAAATGCACAAAGCCTTTTTGAATAATGTAGTATGCGCTGCTGTTTGCTTGATTATGTAATGTCAAAAGTTTTAACTATATTCCAAGTACTAAAGCATACTGGATGACACTGAGAATGTTGAATAGCATTCATGATGGCTTTGTTTATTTTGGGGCAGCTACAACCATGTAAGCAATGTTGCTGAAATGAATTCAATAAAAATGATTTTAAAATGTATAACTTGAGTCTTGAATTTATTTGATAGTTTTGAGCTAAAGGTAATAGAGCATGTGCCTAGTTGCAGTACCCAGAGTTTAAATTCCACTACTGCCAAATGACTTGTTATTCAGAAGTATGCAAATAAATTATTCACATTAGTGTAGGGTGTTGTTTTGTTTTGGTGCCAGTATTGGGACTTGAACGCTTGCTTAGCTTTTTTACTCAAGGTTGGCACTCTACCACTTGAGCCAAAGCTCCACTTTTAAAAAATTTATTGTTATTGTAAAGGTAATGTACAGAGGAGTTACATAAGTAATGAATACATTTCTTTTTGAATAGTGTTTTCTGTTTTTCCCTGTTGACTTCCTCCCCCACAAGTTATAGTTCCTTTTCAACATCGTGTCTAGTATTACTGCTACATTAGTTCACCCTTTTCCCACCATTTCTGTGCTCCCGCTTACCCTCTCCTAAACAGATAAACTTACAAGACAAAAGGTACAGAAATAAAAAACAGTGACAAAGGAGAAAACAACAGAAAAAGCAACGTAACAAAAAAAAAAACCTCATTTCCAGTTCTTGGAGTTCATTTAATAAACATCATTTTATGTGATCATAGGCACATAGCTATTGAGCTCAATAGCTATGTGCCTTTTTTTTTTTTTTACTGTGCAAATGTTTGTAATCTTGTATAACATGTCTACATGTAATTTTTTTTTTGTTTTTATTACTGATTAATTGGAGATAAGAGTGTCACAGACTTTCCTGTCCAAACTGGTCCTCAGGATCAGCCTCCTAAGTAGTTAAGTAGCTAGGATTACAGGAATGAGTCACTGGTACCCAGCTTTCACTATAGTTTTTTGTTGTTGGTCATGGGTGCTATCCTTGATTGAGCTTTTGCTGAAGGCTAGTCTCTACCACTTGAGCCACAGCTTCACTTCTGGTTTTACAGTGGTTAATTGGAGAGAAGAATCTCATGGGGACTTTTCTGCCTGGGCTGGCTTTGATCCTCAGATCTCAGTCTATTTAGTATTACAGGCACGACACCAGCACTTGGGCTGTCCGTGATATAAAGCAGAGCAGGGAAATCATGTTTTTTTTTTCTTTTTTAACTCTCATGTCTCTGATCTTAGTACAGAGTTAACATCCAGTAGGTTAAGTAAGTTTCTCCAGCTAGGTGCTGTGGCATGGACTTGGAGTCCTATTCTCTCAGGAGAGTACTTAACTGTTTGACCTCAGGAGGGGAGGCCAGTAGAGAGAGGTGTGTGTGTGTGTGGGGTTGGACTTGGGGCTTGAACTCAAGGCCTTTGTGCTGTCCTTGAGCTCTTTGGCTCAAGGCTAACGCTGTACCACTTTGAGCACCACTTCAAGTTTTCTGGTGGTTAATTGAAGACGAGTTTCACCGGGACTTTTCAGCCCACACTGGCTTTGAACTTCCTCAGATCTCAGCTATCTGAGTAGCTAGATATTACAGTGTGAGCCACTGGGGCTCTGGTGCATGCAGATGTTACTTTGACTTGCAGTGGAAATCAGAACAAATACAAGTAACCAATTAAATCATTTAATAGCTTTTACTAACAACAGAAAATAAAGCCTCATAGTTAGCCACTGGACTGAAAAAAAAAAGTAATGCTCCAGAGATAAGGAAAACAAAAGCAATGATGTACTTGATAACGGTGGCAGTGTCTCAAGTTAATGACTTTTTCACGATTTGCTATTTTGGGGACACAATGTAAATTATAGACAGGGGAAGAGATTTAGGTCACCTTTTCCACAGCTTATCTTTGGTACTATCAACCCAAGGGAAATGCTTATCTTCACTAAGAAATGCTGGGGTTTACTTTCCTGGTCTCTCACAACTGATAGGTGAGGTGTTCTGGAGGGAAGTGGAATGTGGGTAATGTTGGGAATTGACTCAGGGCTTTATTTATGCTGAGCTCTTTTACACATTTTGGGCAGTGTATTGAGCACTATTTTAAGTCAGGCACATTTCTGGGAAATGACAATGACTAAGTTACTGAAAGTACTAGCTAGCACAGATTAGCAGACAACACAACTACTTTTTGGAGAGGATAAAGGAAGTTTTATTGCTGGTGACCTGAACCAGGCCAGGGCCAGAAAGAAGTTCGGATCCTCAACAGGGGAATTCTTGGGTTTAAACAAGCAAGTTATACACTAAGTATCAATTAGACGTACAAAAGGTCAGGTGTACAGAAATAAACTTTGGCCCAGAAGGGCACTTTCTAATTGCGCAGAGATCACATCTGTCACTACCTCCTCCCTCCTGTATTATTTAAATTAATGCCTTTTGGGCTTCCTGATAGCCCCTCCTAGTCTGCCCCCCAGCCTACATTCCAGCCTACATACCCACAGAGCCACTGGCCCCGCAACTGGGCCGGGGCCGCCTTCTGACAACTAGATGCCGACAGTGGCTTTGCCGGAGTAACTTTTCTACTTCGGGTGGAAAATAACTGGAGTTGGAAGTTTTGTTTGTGCCAGTACTGGGACTTGAACTCAGGGGCCTGTATGCAGTCTCTTAGCTCTCTGGATCAAGATTCTAACCACTTGAGCCGCAGCTCTGCTTTTGGCTGAGAATCTCATGGATGCTCCTGTCTGGGCTGGCTTCGAACCTCAGATCGCAGCCTCCGGAGGAGCTACGATGTCAGGGGTGAACCACCGGCGCCTGGCTTGAAGTTGAGGGTTGGGAGGGTAAAGAGCACCGAGGTAGAAGTGTGTTCTTCGGACTGGAGTGAGCGGTTGGGGCAGCCCCCGACAGAGACCTCCGGAAAAGGACCTTCGAAGGGCTACATCGGCTGACCAGGGCGTCCGGCTGGAGAACACAGCAGGCGCCGAGGCTGAAAGTGATCGATCAGAGGCAGAAAGGTGAGTGCGGGGACCGCGCGGCCCCGCGACCGGGGGGGGGGGGGGGGGGGGCCGGAGCTTCGCCCATCCGCCCGCAGCCCGGCCGGGAGCTCCGGACTCTGCAGACCGCCGAGTGCGGGGCCCAGCGGCGGGCCACCCGCTTCCCAGCCCGGGGGGGAATGGCCCCGGGGCGAGGCGAGGGCGGGGCGGGGGCCGGGGGCCGCGGCCGGGGAGGGCGGCGCGGCGGTGCACGGGCCGCGGTTACCAGCAGGCGGTGTAGTGAGCGCGCCGGCCGCCGCCGCCGCCGCCGGTCCCAACTAGGAGAAAGGAGGGGACCGGAAGGAGCCGCTGGTGCTGCGGGAAGTAGCAGGAGCGGGAGGCGGGGACCCACCTGGAAGCGCCCCGGCGCCGCTGTGGAGCTTCCTGCGGCGGCGGGCACTCGGGCCAGGGCTGGAGCGGGGGCGGAGAGCGGCCGCGGCGGCGGCGCCTTCCGGAGTGGCCCGTGGCGTTCGGCCCCCCGCGCGAAAGGTGAGCGGGCGGCCCGGGGCACGTGGCGGGGGGCCGGCGCGGGGGAAGGAGAGGGGAAAGGGGGAAGCACGGGGGGAAACGCTCGGCTGTGGGACCCGGATCGGGAGCCGTGCGCCGGGAGGGGGTGGGTTGTGAGGAGGCGGCGGCGGTGGAGCCCCCACGTGGGGCTGGGGTGCGCGCGCACGCGTGCGCGGGCGGGAGGGCTCGGAGGAGGGCGGCGGACGCGCGCGCGCCCGGGAGCGGCGCACGTGACGGGCACGCCGAAAGTCCGTCCCCACGTGACACGCGGGGAGGCCGGGTGAGGTGGAGAGAGAGAGACCCTGCGGTGTGTAACCCGAGTCCCCGACGCTCCCGGGACGGTGGCCGTCCTCCCTCCCTACTCGAAGACGAGGGAGAGACCGCGAAGGCGGAAAGGACTTCCTACCTCCCGCCGTGCCTTTCACGTTGCTTCCCCCCTCCCCCCGTTCGTTCAGCAAGCACTTTTTAAGTTCTGAAGTACTGACTTTTTCTTTACCGCCATGTTGGTTCTAGAGGAAGCTCGCGAGAGGCGAGTGGGTTTGTATCGCGAGGTTTCTCGACTCTCGCGGGACCTTGTTGGCAGAGCAGTTGTCCTGGATGGCGGAGCCTTGGGTTCCGGGGGGTCTGGGACCCGCAACTCTTTCTACCAGGCAAGTTGTGAGGGAGGGGCCGGGGCGAGCGCCTCCGGCTGCGGGCAGACGCGCCGCGTGGGCTCCCCCCCCACCCCGGAAGGGAGTGCAGTGAGTCGGTGGAGGAGGGACTGGTCCTCCCCGTCTGCCCGCGGGCGCCCCGCCACCTGCAGAAACGTTAGCACCCCCGGGCCCGGGCTGCGCCCCGCGCGCCCCGCACGCCCCGCGCGCCCGAGGTCCGGAGCCGCGCCCACGCCGCGTGACGGCAGCCCTGGATCCCGCTCCTCTCGCTTCTTCCACACCTCCTCGCGGTCAGTCTGCCGGGTTCCCACTCCCAGCGTGTCCCGGACCAGAGCGCCGTGCCGTGGCTCTGGCTGCCGGGATACCCTGTCTGCACTGGCCCGAGGACGGAGCCCCTGCCCCCTCTCCTCCTGCGGGGTGGCCTCGACTCGCTGGGGCCATTCCTGATTTCCTCCTCACCCTGACACGCGATTCACAGTCAACTTTTTGGCTGTGTTGGGAGAGTGCCCCGTGTCTCGGACAGTACCTGAGAGGTCAGAGTAAAATCGTTCTTTTTTAATCCTTGCGTGTCTCTTACCTTGTAATTATTGACAAGGCTGCGATCACTTCGGCGTTTCTGAGGCTGCCATTTTTGATGCAGTTTTTACCTGACGTGTGGAAATTAATCGTGGATCGTTTCAGATCGGATGCTGAGAAGCATCCTACCTCTAAACTTAGGATCAGAGTTCTAGCTCATTTCTTTTTCTTTTTTTTTTTTTTGTAAAAGAGGGTTTTTCTTCTCTAACAACTTACCAGAAATGAATTGACCTACCCTATGCTTTTGTTTTTGTGTTCTTGGTTGTCCACCAGTATTTGAGTTTTATCTAGTATTGGTAGTGGGGTGTTAATTTCGCGGCTAGTCAGACAAGTAGGTAATTCCTGTGTCGTTTGTGTTTTTAAACTACGAAAGTTTTGTTTGCCCTTAGGCTTAGTATGGAGGGGCAGAGCAGAACGTTTCTAGTCAGACCCTGCCACAAAGTTCCCGCCTCGGTTTTAAAATCTGCCCCTTAGTCATCGCTCTGGGCAGATGTTTTCCTTGCTTAATTTTTGTTGGAGGGGAGAAACTTAAAAGGCTGTTTAGTTCTATGATATACTTGTACAACATTAGCAATTGCACAGTTTTTTAGTTCGGTTGAATATTTTGTGTAGTGACAAACGACTACTGTTAAAACTCAGTTTTATAGTTAATATTTATGCCCTTATATTTACCTCTGTATTTAACATTACTTATGTGTTCCAAATGAGCTCAGCTATGAATAGAGGGGTTTTCTAGAAGAATTAAAAATTTGTCATTTCAGAGGCTCGGAAGGTGGTTCAGTGATAGAGTGCTTTCCTTGCATGTATGAGGCCCTGGGTTTGATTCCCCAGCACCACATAAGCAGAAAAAGCCAGAAGTGGCACTGTGGCTCACTGTGGTAGAGCACTTGCCTTGAGCTGAAGAGCTGAGGGACAGCACCCAGGCCCAGAGTTCAGACCCCATGACCGACCAAAAAAAATTGTCATTTCAATTAAAGTAATAATTCAGACCTTACAATTTAGTGAGCAGTTAATAATGTGAACATTTACTTAAAATTTGCTGAGCAGCTATCATTTTGTGATTATCTCCTCCCGTCCCCCAAAAAACCTTTTTAACAGAAATTTTGTTATTGTTTCTTAATATTAATTTTGGGACAAGGTAATGTAGACTAGGCTGGTCTGTGAGTCACAATTCTCCTCTTCACCCGGTGCAGAAATTACAGGTACCCACTACCACACCTGGCTCAAGTTTTATCAGACCTGTCAGATTAAAAAAGAAAAACTGTGGGCTGGGAAGTTGGCTCAGTGGTAGAGCGCTTGCCTTGCATGCTCGAGGCCCTGGGTTCGATTCCTCAGCACCACATAAGCAAAAAGAAAAAAGCCGGAAGTGGCTCTGTGGCTCAAGTGGTAGAGCGCTAGCCTTGAGCTGAAGAGCTGAGGGACAGCGCCCAGGCCCAGAGTTCAGGCCCCACGACCGGACCAAAAAAAAAAAAAAAAGAAAAACTGTATACTTTTAAAAAATTGTAAAAGTGCAAGTAGGATGGTTGAGGGTAGGAATGTTGAGAGGTGTGATGGGAGAAAGGAGATGCAGAGCATAGATTGAAATGGAATTGTGGACGTTGTAGAGAAAAGAATGTAGGTTGACAATGAGACAAGAGTCGCAGCACACAATAGGTAGGCTTATAATAAAGGGAAACTTGACCAGATTTTGAAAAGAATATTTGAGACTTTCTTTTCAGATACTTTTTAAAAAAAGACAGTTGTACAGACTACCTCCATGCTAGATAGCACCTGAGGTATTCAGCAGCTAAGGTTTATATTTAGATGAAACATAATTAGTTACTTAAAGTCATTAGGCTAAGTAACATTTGTTAAGTACATTAATTACTAGAAATAGGAAATTGAACATGTCATCACTAAAAGTCACAATTGTACATTTGCAAAAAGTATGTATATAAGCTTAGAATTGGGCCTTTGATAGTCTTCTGTGCACCTGATCTATGCATGCTAAACTTTTGTTTTATAAACTGTTTAGAGTTTATAAACTATTTTTTTTCTTCTCGGTTGTGGGGCTTGAACTCTAGGCTTGGGTGCTGTCCCTGTGCTCTATAAACTTTTGTTTTATAAACTCATTATTATTATTTTTTTTGGTTGTGCTTGGGCACTGTCCCTCAGCAGTTCAGCTCAAGGCTAGTGATCTATCACTTGAGCCACAGCGCTACTTCTGGCTCTCCACGGATGCGGTGCTGAGGAATCAAACCCAGGGCCTCATGTATGCAAGGCAAGCACTCTACCACTGAGCTGCCTTCCCAGCCCAGTGTTCCAGTTTTTAATAAACACTAATTTATTTGAGGTAACAGTGATAATGTATGATTTGTGCCCGTGATGACATTTTTTAAAAGCCAAACACTGCTGAATTCCAGAATCTTGTAACTTTGTAAACTCAGCACAACTTGTGTTCATATTAATTAGTTCAGGAATATATATTTATTGCTTACTTTTTGAATCACTAAGAGAATTATAGTAAATTACTTGGCTAAAATAGAAATATCAGTGAAAATATGTTGCAGCTACTTAAAAATATCAATTTAAACATTTGAGGCTTGCTGTAGAGTGTTATCTCAGCTTGTGTACTAAACCCCAATACCACATGATAAACATAACAAAAAAATTTCACATCAAAATTTGCTTGGGAGTAATCTATAAGGAATAGTTACTGGAAGACTGATTTCTATAATATATATGTGGTGCAAGTTTCTACTGTTAATACTCTGATAATATTAAAAATACACATATATGTTTGCGTCTAAAAATGTGTATACATACAGATAAGATGTATACATGAATTCCTCAGGGTCCTAAGGTTATAAAACCATTCAACTTGACTTTTTCTTTTTTGAGCCTGTACTGTTCACAGGTTTGTTTTTTCTTTTTTGATATTCTTTCTTATTACATAGGGTTTTTTTGTTTGTTTGTTTTGTTTGGTCTTGTCAGATTAGTGAGTGGAGTAACTCCCTGAGGACATTATTGATAAATGGTTTAGTCAGTATTGATTTACTGCTTTCTTGGTGGGGCAGGTTGGCCTAGAACTTAAATACTCCTGTATAGGAAGATGACAGCTACTAAGATCACAGCTATGCTCCATCATGTCCTGTCTTTCTTTTTTTTAAACTTAGTATGTTTTAATAAAATTCAATTAATTACATTTTGGGGTATTGAGGTTTGAAATCAGGACCTTGGATTTATTTATTTTTTTTTTCTTGTCGGTCGTGGGCCCTGAACTCTGGGCCTGGGCGCTGTCCCTCAGCTCTTCAGCTCAAGGCTAGCGCTCTACCACTTGAGCCATAGTGCCACTTCCAGCTTTTTCTGCTTATGTAGTGCTGAGGAATTGAACCCAGGGCTTCATGCATGCAAGGCAAGCACTCTACCACTGAGCCACCTTCCCAGCCCCAAGGACCTTGGACTTATTAGGCAGGCACTCTAACACTTGAACAATGCCTGTAGCTCTGAATTTAGTATTTTTTCTTCAGTTGAATCACTCATTTGACATTTGTTGCGTGCTAATGATCTCAGCCCATTTGAAACATAGGAAAAATTCTGAGTCTTCTAAACAATGCTAACCTACATAGTCATACATGCTTTATGAGAGTGATACATACAGTCTAAGAGGTTGTGCAGTTTCCTTATGTGAACATCAGGTATACTTACGCAAACTAAGTGA